TGTTGTTGACTTGTTGCCGTTGTTGTTGATGTTGCAGTTGGTGATGATGATGATGATGTTGTTGATGTTGCTGATCAAGAACACTCATTTCTTGCTCCACATATGGATCTCTATAATTGTTTTAAAATTGTTATTATTATTGTAATCATTACTATTATTATTATTATTAGTAGTAGTAGTAGTAGTAAAAGTAGCAATAGTAGTAGTAAAAGTAATAGTAGTAGTAGTAAAAGTACTAGTAGTAGTAGTAGTATTATCATCGTCATCATCGCCATTCACTCATTCTCACTTCATCATTATATTCTTCAGTCGCTCATCGCCGATCTTTCCATCATCATCGTCGTCGTCGTCGCTGGCCACAGCGACCTGGTCCACAACTCCAACATCTTCATCGCCAGCAGGGTTTTTCTTCTCTTTTTCATCACCACCATCATCATCATCATTATCGTCATTGTTATTATTATTATTATTATTACTGTTATAATTTTTATTCCTGTTGGAGGCTTCAAACGATTTCGTCATCATAAACTTCATCGTCATAGTCGCCATTTTTTCAAAATAATCATCGCCGACTGTTAGGCCCTCGTACTCTGGCGGAAGTAAGTGGCTCTCTGTGGCCACTTTGTAAGAGGGGTGGAGGGATTTGAGGAGTCGTGACGTCATATCTACGTCATCTTTATCCACGCGTCCGCTTTCGAAATCCTCGAAGTGATATCTGTGTGTGTGTGTGTGTGTGTGTGTGTGTGTGCGTGTGTGTGTGCGTGTGTGTGTGAGAGAGAGAGAAAAGAAGAGTGTGTGTGTGTGTCTGTGTGTTTAGTAATAATGGTTATTGCTGTGATACCATTGTTGTTATTAATGTTTTTACTCATCATAATCTCCTTAATCATGTCATCATCGTCGTCTTCATCATCGTCCTCTCTCTCTCTCTCTCTTTCTCTCTTTTTTTCACTCTCTTACTTTCTAAGATGTTGACGATCGGCGTGTTTGGCTACCTGCAAGTACGCTCTCCAGAAAGCATTCTCTCTCGCCTCCTCCTCCATCAGTGGTGTCATATCAGGAATAGGGATGTCACTGTTTTTATCCACGAACTGATAGGCCGAAAAAAATACTTCCGGAAAAACTTTGAAAGGTGAAAAATAACATTAATAACAATAATGATATTAACAATAGTAATCATAACATTAAGAACAATAATATTAACAATAACGATCATAAAATTAATAATAATAATATAAATAATAGCAATCATAGCATAAATAATATGGTAGTTCTACTACAACTGTTACTTACTGCTGCTGCTACTTCAGCTTCTACTGCGACTACTACTACTACTACAGCCATTACTACTACTACTACTACTACCAATAATAATTATAATTAATAATAACTAATAATATTAATAATAAAAACTTTAATAATAATAAAAATAATAACTAAATATTTGAATTTTATTTGAAAACTCCACTAACGAGACACGTAAGAAATGAGATTAAACGTAAAACAGAAATCATACATCATAAAGTATTATTATTATTATAAATTATTATTATTTATTATATTTTATTATTATTACTATTCCTCATTTATTATTATTATTATTCGTCGAGATACCTTCCCCTTATCGATAACACTGTCAAAATAATCTTTACGTCTATATGATCGTTGGCAAGTAAACAATAGACAATAATGAGATCATTTACATAGCGCTTTTTATTATTATTATTACTATTATTATAAATATTATTATTATTATTATTAACGATAATGAAAAAAAATAATGACGTCATCAATAATTTCAATCGATATCGAATCTTCTGTTGCTGTTTGGTTTGTTAGATATTATACATGTATATTGGAGGTAGAGAGAGAGAGAGAGAGAGAGAGAGAGAGAGAGAGAGAGAAAGAAAGAAAGAGAGAGAGAAAAAAAAAGAAAGAGAAAGAAAGAGAGAATAGTATGAAAAAGAGAGAGACTCCACGATCATTTTTTAACGCTGTATTTGAAAAATGGCAATTTAATAATTAATCCAGTCTAATATTTTCTTTTTATAAAAGTCTTTCGAATTTTTTCAACTGGGATAGCTTCAGTCTAAGAACTTTAGAACCTGAATTCGAATTTTCATCAACGTCACCATGTTTTTCACCATTAATGCCACCAAACTTTTCCCCATTAGCGTCCTTAACAGTAATAGAGACATCGTTGTTGTTGTAGTTGTTGTTGTAATTTTTAGTTGAATCATCGTTATCCTTTATGCCAGGATGGCGGTTGAGAATTTTATTTTTCAGGTAGTTCCTTCTACTTTCCATAATTGAATCGCTATCGAATCTTTCGTCGGTATTATCAGTGTTGGTGGGTAGAGAATTTTGTTTGTTGTTGTTGTTGTTGTTGCTGTTTGGTTTATTAAACTGTGCAAACCAATCGTTGTAATTATTGAAAACCGTTTGGATGTCATAACCGGTAAATAGTACCTCCTCTATAGATTTTAAAATATTTTCGAGTAATCGAGCGGTCGGTTTCAGACTTTGCTTCTTACTTGAAATATCCTCTCGGTAGGTATTAACTGATGAAAAGTAGCTGAAATCGTGACTGGCACTAGGGTTGGATAGAATATCGATAAACTCGCTAACTTGTTTATCGTAATTCATTTCGTCGTACCCGAATTCTTGAATCGATTTTTTGAAATTATCGCCCAGTTCGTCCAAAATCAGTCCATCTCTTTCTAACAAAGGCGTAAAATATTCACTTGCCAAAGTTTTAACATCTTGACGCGGCCAGTTATTCGATAGGAAATGTTCCACTAATTGAAATGATTCTTCGGTATCGAATCTTAACAACGCCGGTTGGTACGCCAGCGATGCTACGTCAATATTCGGCAATTGCTGAGCTATCGGTATGAGCACCGAATTTATTAAATCTAAAGGATAACTCATTAGTTGGTCAAAGTTGAGTCGATTCAAGTGAAAACTTCTCGGTTTCTTGTGCAAATCTGTGAAGCGTCGAATCAACTCGTTCAAAAATGACTGACTGAAATCAACATTATGTTGGGAGAATGAAGTGACCAATGTATCTAGTGTTGAAAAAATTAATCTTTCTTCTTCATCTGTATAAAGGATGTGCGGTGCGAATAGTAAGAGGTTGGATAGAGTTAAAATGTCGGTGATTAATCGGTTATTCTGTAGATTTTTTTTTAATTTGTACGTATGTTTGGACGGCGATGGATCGTTCACATGGGCCTGCCACATTTTGTATAACGATTCTTTCAATTTGTAAATCCAATCATCTTCATCTGATGTTGTTGTTGTTGTTGATGTTGTTGTTGTTGATCGTGCTGATGTTGTTGATTTTGTTGCGTTCTTTTCAATTCTTTTATCTCTTACATCAGTGGTTTGGTTGCCCGTTTTATCATCATCAGCATCATCATCATCAATTTTCTCATCACCACCACCACCATCATCATTTTTTTCATCTCCAGCTTCTGCTTCTAAGAACTTCAAATACTCGATTAATACTTCCTTCTCGCCGGCGTTGAACATATCGTGAAACCGACGGTACACTAGTCGAGTACCGACTGACGATTTCTTCATGTTTGTACCGAAACCGTTGTCGAGTTTCAAGCCGTTACGCTTCTCCTTTTTAATATCAGGCTGTGTTTTGGCGTAAGAAATTATTTCACCTAGATTATTACCAGTAGCTGAAATAGTTGTTTTAGTAGTATTTGCTTTATCACTATGAACATTAAAATTGATATTTCTACCAACACTTTCAAAATTATTTTTCGCATTCTTATCATCGCTTCGAACACTCATAGTAGTAATATTGTTACCTTTATTTTCAGTACCGATGTTACTGCTACTTTTACTGTAACTCTCAACATTCAGATCCCTCTTTCTTACCCAGTTAATATTTTTTAAAAACGGATTCGCATGATAATCCAACGAGTCGAAAGCCTTCTGGAACTTTTCCTCTTCCGTTTCCTCATTCAGAGACTTCAAGTACGGAAGCACGCTGGCTATGACGTCACTGGCCGTCAGAAAGATGACGAAGGCGAGAACGAAGATGTTGTCAGTAGTGACGTGCATGTCTTCTAACTTTGTAAAGTCAATCAACTTTGAATTTAGACGATTTTTTTCACATTAAAAAATGATAAAGCTTTTCGAATATTTATTAAAATTCTTTCAACAAACACACAAAGAAATACAAAATAACTAAACTCCAAAAAACACTCACAAAGAAATAAAAAAACTATTTCAAACTCAAAAACTAGTTAGTTTTTATACTGTGTTTCTCTATTTAGTATTATTTAGTTTGTCTAATATTAATACTACCCCAAATACATATTCATAACACTTCAAAACATGCTAAGCATTCATAATAACGGTTTAAATAAATATAAGCGATTTTATTTTTTAATTTTTGTTTATTACGTGTGCGTGCAGGCGTGAATGTCTCTACAGTTGAAAAATACGTATTAGGTACGTTTTTAAATTTATTTGGATGAGATTTTTTTTTAGGATGGAATATCGAATTTGAAATGAATTCTACCACGAGACAACTAAAATAATCTAAAAAATACGAACAAGTATAAACGCGGAAATCACAAATTTATCAAAAAATAAATTTAAATGAAAAAAAAAATGATACAACTGTTAAAATTTGTCAAAGTTTTTTTTTTTTATAAATGTCATCATGTCTTCATTATCATCGTACATATCATCATTCATTCTCATCATCATCCTCACATCATCATCTTCATCCTCACATCCTCATCTTCACATCATCGTCATCTTCATCCTCACATCATCATCTTCATCTTCATCATTATCTTCATCATCACATCTTAACCATCACTGCGGCTTAGCGTCTTTAATCTGACCGCTGGTGTAATTCATTCTCTCACCAACATCCATTCCATCACCACTTCCACCACCATTTTTACCAAAATTTATTTTGCCGTCGTCATTGTTATCACCATCCTCGTCGTCGTCGTCCTCCCCATCGTCGTCATCTTTCAACAAAAGGCCGCCACTGAAATCTGACGCCCCACTCCTCATTTCCACCCATCTATTATTACCCCTTCTAACCAGAATCACCTCCTTGTCGATATTATCGCCCTGGTTGCGGTACATTATTTTTATGTCTTTGCTGCCCATTTTCTCGTTTGCCGTTGGTGGATTTGTTGGCGAGTGGTCACTGCTGCTGCTGCTGCTGCTGCCGCTGTCAGGGTGGTCACTTTTTGGGGTGGCTGTGAACGTTCTTGACGATGTCGACACAGCGGATGTTCTTTTTCGTACGTCAGTGAACATTTTTCTGTGGTAGTCTTCCTGTCCGTCAACAACTTTTTTACCGCTTGATGCCGTAGTTTCGTATTTGTAGGCTGATGCTAACCAGTCGAAGAATGGATGCGATCTCTTCGATCTGTAATGCGTGAAATCTTCCTCACCATCTTTCTCACCATCCTGCTCTTCATCCTTATCTTCTGATTCGCTGGAGTCATCTTTGCCGCTCTGAAATGCACTTCTCTTGCTGAGATGTTTGTCGTTGTTTAAAGTTTTTTTCTTGTTTTCGGCGTCGCCATCGTTCTCGTCGTCGTCGTCATCGTAGTTGGCATCCGGATCGGTTACACCTACCTGCTGGCCCCAGCTCTGAATGAGTTTTTGTTGTTCGAGAAGTTCTGAGTCAGCCTCTTCTATCAGGTCCAGCATCGTTTCCAAGTATTCTTCATTCTTCAACCTCAATGCCGTCACATTCTTGATTGGATTGTTTCTTAAATTATTCAAAATGTTGTTAACGACGTTGTTGTAATTGTTGATGTTGTTGTTGTTGACGTTGTTGTTGATGTTGTTGATGTTAGTGTTTGTTTCCTCTTTTGATTTTTTAACTTCGATACTGTTTTTTATATCGTCAGTGACTGCTTGATATTTTTTCAAAATTTTCGACCACCTATCGAGAATAACGTCCAGTCGGACATTGGAGAGGTAGATGAATTGCATGTCATCCTGAAGTTTCTCCGCCAAACGATCAGTAACTGGCGAAGCTGATGTCGAATAAAACAAAGTTGAATGCGTGGAATCTTTTTCATTATTGTCCGGCTCAACATCTCTTCTGTATCTGCCCTGCACGCGTGGTCTTTTGCCTCGTTTTCCGCCTCTTCTTTTTCCTCCTCCTCCTCCTCTTCCTCGTCCTTTACTCTTTCGACGTCTTTGAGGATGTCTTCTAGGACGTCTGCCCTTCTGCCTACGACCTCGACCTTTATTTCCTTTTCTACCTTTCCTTCCAAAACGTTTTGGGCCCCTGCGGACCCTTGAAAGTTCACTCAAGTCCTCTTCATTCTGATCGCTGAGGTCTCTCGCATCTCTCTTTCTTCTCTTCACAATTAATCCGATCTGTTCGTTTGGGTAGGTATGGTGTTTGTAGTCGTATCCCGGTTTCTCTGGGAATGGAGCATCTCTAGCCCAGATCTGATCCAAATCCTGCCTCTTATCTTGCCCATCTTCCGTTCTTCCCGCGGCTAAATTTTGTTCTTCCTGGCTGGCGTTTGTGAAGAGCCAGTCGTCGTCATCCTCTTGCTCAATCACGTAATTTCTTTTTTCTTTAGCTGAGGCTGTTAGTTTAATTTGTAATGTGAATTAACATACAAAAGAGCAAATAATTTTTAAATTATTTACTCACATTTCATGTTGACGTTTTCTTCATTTCCCTTCAAAACGGGTGATTTAACTTCGGGAAAAAATTTTTTCTCGTCGCTGGGTGAGAATTTAAACAGCAAAATTATTCCCACAAACAAATTGAAACTAAAAATCATTTTAAAATAAATCTTGATATCAAATCAATCCATTAGATCGATAATAATTTTTTCAAAAAATTTGAATTTACAAAGTAACGCTTTCTGAATGAACAATAGATACGTTGCCATGGGAGATGTAGTCAAAACAGTTTTTTAGCGTCAAATAATATCTTTTAAGTTCGTAAATCAATGAAAATATCAAAAAGTTGTTAACACATTCAACTGAAATTTCACCAAATAATAATAAATACATTTTTCAATCCAAAAGTATGTTTTTAAAACGACTTAATGGCACAAATGTCTTAAGAAAATGTCTTTTGGCGTCTGTTGTGTGACCCAAGGCGCAAATCTCTCAATGAATTTCGGTATTCTTCTAATAAACTTTCACTACCGCTATCTTTAACATTCAAAATAAGTTGGTCTTCCTGATCGTTCCTCAGTTGTCCCTGATCATTCCTCAACCTCTCCAAGTCTAATTTCTGCTGTTGGCGATTTTTTTGTCGTTGCTGCTGCAGCTGCTGCTGTTGGGCATAGATTTGTCGTTGAAGTGCTTGGTATTGTTGCTGCTCCGCTAGCTGTTTCTGCTCCAGAAGTTTCAATTTTTGTTGCTGAGACAGTAGTTGCTGTGTCTTTAGTTGCTTCTTGTTCTGTCCTGGGAATATGTATTTGTCCGATTCGAGAAGAAAGGGTGCTGGTTCGTCAAGTTGATGGTGAGTGTGCGAGAATACGCTTTTTAAATTTTCAAAGTCGTTCTTTTCTTTCTGCATCATCATTTTTTGTTTTCGTAATATATCGTGTATCTCCTTTTCTTTTTGAATTTTCTGCTCAGCTAATATGTTTTCCAGTTCTTTCTGTTTCAATTTTTTCTCTCTCTCTAAAAAATTTTCATCTAAAATTAATTTGTCGCCATTATTTGAATCAATTTCAATGATTCTTGAATGTATGGGTTCGGGAAAATTGCTAACAGTTGGAACACTGCTGCCAACTCGCGGCTGATCAACCAACTCTTGGTCTACAGAATTTATTAATTTCAACGTTTCAGAGTTCAATTTCTCGGCCAAAATGTCCAGTTCTGTTTTTACATTTTCTAATTCAGCTTCGGCTTCAATGAGATTACGATCGATATTTTCAGCAACTGAATCATCTTTCGGCAAATTTTCTAAATTTCTTTTCGATCTTTTAGCCTCATTCATTTTTTCTAGTTCACTCTCTGAGAACTTGAATCGTTTTATCAAATTTTTCTTTTCTTGTCTCAGTTTCTTCTCTTTCAGATGCCGTAACTTCAGTGTTTTTTTTCTTTTCTCCAGCAACTCTTTCTCAGATTTTTCAAGCAATTCAACAGCGTGACTGAGCGCGCTTTCCAATTTATCGAAACTCACTTTCTCGGAAGATCGTTTCTCCAAACGGCGTCGAACAATTTTACTCTTGAGAGTTTTTTTGGTTTCTTCTTCATCTGTCTGCTGCTCACTGACGCGTGTCTTTCCCTCGAGTTCCATGATTCGTTTCTGCTGCTTGTCGATGATTCTCTTGATGACCGCCTGTTTGGCCAGTTCGTTTTCAATTGCTTCAATTTCCAACTGCTTCTCTGCTTCTTGCCTTCGTTTCAAAAGTTCCTCATTCGTTTCTAGATTTCTATTTAACTGCTCGTTTGTCAGTTGAATGTTTCTATTTTGTTCATCAAGTTGTCTTTGCTGGTCTTGCAGTAGTTGTAAAGTACGCAGTTGTTGTTGTTGTTGGTTTTGTTGCTGTTCGTCTTGCTGTAGTTGTTGTTGTTGTTGTTGCTGCTGTGCGCCGGTCTGTTCCTGTCGTCGGTGTTGTATGCGAAATTCATCATTCAGTTGTTGTTGTTGTTGATGATGTTGACGTAGTTGTTGATTTTGACGTTGTTGTAGAAGTTGTTGTCGAAGAAATAAGTTTTGTTGATGTTGTCGCTCCTGTTGGCGCAACTTCCTCTGCTGCTCCTCTTGCTCCAGCACGGCCAGGAATGCCTCGTCCTTCGTAGTTTTCATCAAATCGAATTTCGTAACAAAATATTTCATAAAAATAATTTGAAGTTTCAAAAGCTGCGGTTGAGAATGTTAAATTAAAAAAATTTAGCCATCAGCAGCAGTGCATAATTCAATAATTTGTTTGCGTTCGATACGCACCGCTAGTAGAGAACATGCCATACTTAAAAACATTTGAACACCTCAAAAATTATTTTAAATATACAAAACGTTATTATTATTATTTACAACCAACACTTCAAACATTCATTAAATGATTTTAAAATGTGAAAAAGAAAGAGATCTAAAATTTAAAATCTTTCCAAAACCTTTTCTTGGTCCTCCTTTATCTGATGCAAGACCTTCAACTTTTCAAGAAGTGTAGCAGTTTCATCTAGTTTTTGCATCAGCCTCTGATTCGATTGCACCAGTTCTTTCAAATCTTTAATATCACTTTTGTCCAAAGCCATCAATCTTTTTGTTTCAAAGTCCAGCTCTTCCTCCTGGCCTAATTCATCTTCTTTTCCTCCAAGTTTTGCTGTTCCTACAGCTGCTGCTACTGCACTTTTTCCTCTCTCGAATCCTTTCAGTTTTTTATTCAGTTCCACCTGCTTTTCAATTAATCTTTCTAATTCTAATTCAATTTCACTTTTTGTTTCTTTTTCTTCAACTTTTTCCTCAGTTTCACTTTCACTTTCTTCCCCGCCATCTTCTTCGATCTCATCGTCGTAAACATCTGTCGCTGACGTGTTAGCTGTGGCTCCTACAGCTGCGACATTAGCTGCCGCGTTAGTTGCTGAAGTAGCTGCTGATGAAGCTGCTGTTGTGGCAGCTGCTATCGGGAATGTGCTTGCAGTATCGGCGGCCTCGATGGTTTCAATTATCATCGGTATAACGGTTATTAAAGTTAATGCGGTTATTGCTATCGAGATTGTAATTTGGGAATGTTTTGCTATTGAATTCATTAAAATTTTCGATAACTTAATTTGCTAATCAACTTATCACTTAATTAAATCGTGATTTTAATGTAATATTCATTTCAACTTTTTAATTAATGATAATGGTCATAAAAAAATGATCCAACCATATATAGCAGTATTAATCAACCGAGGACATTTGACTTAATTAAATAATTAAATCGATTATCCAATTAAAAAGTTAATTAATCGGAAAAATAATTAGTAAACAGTTTGTTTTGACAACTTCTTGTATTCAACACGTCATGTTTTAATGTAAACATCATCTTTTAAACATTTTGTAGCACAATTTTAGCGGCTGAACCAAATTAACCAATAGACAGATGAGACAAAATCGCTTTTTGTTGTTATTAGTATTATTATACATTGGTTATTATTTATTATTATTGCTGTTATTGTTGTCATTGTTACCATCATTATTTTAATTATTACCTTTTAATTGCTCGCAAAAAAAAGAGCTTTGCCAAAAACATCACGTGTTAAATAATAAATTGAACAACACTTAAAAAATTTTGACAATTACAAATCATAGAAAGAACAATAATAATGATAATATTATAATAATGACAATAATAATAATAACTTTAATAACAACAACAATAATAATAATAACAATAATTATACTTGACTGCTGAAACCTTTAATTTATTACCAATGCATGCATTTCGTTAGTTATACGTGTAGCTCTATTTGTAACAATGGAGGCACAACAATAACAACGTTAATAAAAATAATAATAATAACATGTTAACAATAATAAAAGAAAAATATTATTGTTGTTATTGTTGTTATTATTATTATTTAGAACTGTTAAATTAACTGTTAAACAATCTACTATTCATAACGTGTTTAGCCGGCCATCTTGAACGTAATTTAACATTAGCGTTATAATTATTTCTAATAACAACTATAATTATTAGTAATAAAAATAATAATAATTAACAATAATAATTGTTTTATTTATAATTGTTGAAGTATACTCTGGTTTTTCGAAACTTTGAGCGTCACATCATTACCATCAGAGAATAATGAACAAGTAAGCGGATCAGCTTTTTCTATTCATTAATTTTTGTTTATAAATATTCATATTAATATTATTATTAGTAGTAGTAGTAGTAGTAACAGTAGTAGTAGCAGCAGTGGCAATAGTAGTAGCAGCAGTAGAAGTAGCAGCAGTTGTTGTAGTGGCAATAGAATTACAGTTTCATAACCATCTCGCTGATACTTTTATCATTATTTCTTTTATCACTACTATTATCATCATCGTCGTCATCATCATAACCATTACCACCATCATCACTACCCACTACCACATCACCGCCAGAGCCGCCATCATCGGTTTCGTCGTATGCATTACTCTTATCATCACATCCATCTGCCTACTCATTGGGCTTGGATACGGTCTTGGAAAGCAATTCAAGTACCTAGCCGGTAATAAAGAAAACTCAATTCAACCGCTGAAAGAAGTTACTACTGCCACTACAACCACAACTACCACCACCACCATTACTACAACAACTACTACTACTACAGCTGCTGGTGCTGCTAATGATACTACCACTACTACAAACAAAATAAAAGAACAATAATTACTAAGGACAATGAATATTTGATTCCGATAAAATATTAGAACAATATTATTATATTAATATTACTATGGCTACCACCACCACTACTGCTGCTGCTACTATTACTACTACTGTTGTTGTTGCTACTACTACTACTGCTGCTGCTGCTGCTACTACTACTACTACTGCTACTACTACTACTACTACTGCAACTACTACTACCACTACTACTAAACAACTACTATTAGTAGCAGTAGTAATAATAGTTGTAGTGCTGACAAAGATGTGATTGAAACGACTGCTGACCATAGTTATTTATAATGAGGTTCATTTCAAAGTAGATTGTAATAAAAAAGTCGAGGTTTGAGTTTTTATTTTGTTTCCACACACACACGCACACACACACACGCTGCACACACACAACACGCACATACATACATACACACATATACACACCTAATACCCATTAATACGCCCCACTTGATGCTTTGTATATGCGGTGTTTCCTTCACGTCATTAATTGTAAAAAAAATTTTTTTCGTTGCAAAAAAGCTGTATGTATGTATGTACGTATGTACGTACGTATGTTTGACGGTTCAGTGTCACTCATGTTTTGGTTTTAACAATGTACGTATGTACGTATGTACGTATGTACGTATGTATGTATGTATGTATGTATGTACGTACGTATGTATGTATGTATTTGTGTGTGTGTGTGTGTGTGTGTATGTATGTATGTACGTACGTATGTATGTATGTTTATATGTTTGTATGTATTTATAAATATATCATCGCCTATGATGATGACAACAACGATGGCCAAAAAGTTTCAACAAGGAAATAATAATAATTATAACTTAAATTATAAAAACAATAATAAAAATATTATTAACAATAGTAATAATAATAATCTTTTTTTTATGACGACTAGATGTCTCGGTTAAAATCCACTGCGTGCCTTATTCATTTCATTCAGTGTTGACCAACAAAGGCGACCCAGTGAACTCTAACCTCTGACCTCTAACATTGTTTGACCTTGAACTTTCTATGCGACCTTAAGGTATTGCGCGCGATTTTCTTCATTCGTTTTTAAATGCCATTTATCCGATCTTTCATTCATCTTTTCGTTTGTTTTCCATTCCCCTTCTCAGACACCTGCCCTTCATGAATAATTACGAATAATATTATGAATAATATATATTATTAAAAAAAATATAATTAAAAATATAATAAATATAATTAATCAGTTGTGTTACAATTTACTGGTATGGTAGCAACACTGCTGCTACGGTTTATAATCGTTCGTTGCTATTACGAAAGATACTTTGAACTAAAACCATGCTAAATTGACTTTTTCTGAATTAAAACTTCTTATATACACACACGCACACACACACACACGCACACGCACACACAAACAAAAATACAATTGAACTTACCTTCTTGTTACTTTTTCAGTTTCTTTGGTGACTAGTAAAATTGATGATTGAAGTTTTTATCATTTTTGAAAAAAAAAAATCAATTTACTAATTTAATTTTTTTTTGTTTGTTAACTTATTACTACACTCACAAAAACGTGTGGAGCATAATAAAATCTCTCAAATTTTATTAACCAACCAATCAACATTCTTATATCAAAAATTAAATTTTCACCCAACCAATCGGCCAACTTTCAATCAATCAACCTTCAAATGAACCTTTGGATTAAATTTTTCAAAAATCAAATCAAACAGTCTGTGAAATCAATCAATTAATCAACCAACCAGCCAATCGTTCAATCGACTAATATTAATAATCAATCAACCAACCAAACAAACAACCAACCAAATCAATCAACCAATCCAAAAAAATAACCAAACCGACCAACCAATCAAAAAACCAACCAAACCAATCAACCAATCAAAAAAACAACCAAACCAACCAATCAAAAAACCAACCAACCAGCCGGCCAGCCTGACTGGACGTACAATGCTGAAAGTGTGCTACAAAATTCTGCAAGGATGCTCTGAGGAGAAAAAGAGATGTGGATGGAAATGAGAGAGGAAGAGAGAAAAGGAGAAAGAAAATGAAAAGAGAGAGATAAAAGATGGAAAAGAGTGGACGCTTGAAAAAATTACTGAAAAGTTATATGGAAAACTGCAAAAAAATGAAAAATGATCAAAATTATTGTGAAAAATTTACAGAAAAAACTGAAAAAGAAAGCGATATGAAAGAGGAAAAGTAGAAAAAGAGAAAGGGAGGAAGAAAAATAAGAAAAGAGAGAGAGAGGAGAATTTGCATAGGATGCTGAAGCAGCTGCATGTATGAAAAAGAGGAGGGAGCCAGAACATAGTGACCGACGAGACAGAGAGAGAGAGAGAGCATTGCTTCATTAATTATTCATCCTCATTTTCGTCCTCATCGTCAAATGTTTCATAATTTTTTTTCTCTCTTCATCATCATCCTTATCAACGTCAACATTTTTCTCGCCATTATTATCAATATGATCACCACGATCATCCTATCATCATCGTCATTAATATTTTTATATAATTACCAGCAATTTTATCTCATTCTCGGCCACTTTTCCAATTGCATTTCTGCTTTGGAATGATGGAAAATAAGGTGGTGATTAAGAAACAGCATAAAATGATGATGGTGTTTATTATTATTGCTGTTATTGTTATTATTATTATTATTCTTTGATTTCTACGCTGTGTTTGCGCAAAATCTCTGACGCACGACGCAGTAGAATGTAAAATATATTTTGGGTGTACGTACACAAACAGGCATAGATACACACGTATGTACACAAATTCACACAAATATGTACACAAATGCACACAACAGACATATACGCATACATATACAGACACTTACATATACAACACACATGTAATGTACAAAATAAAACACATGCGGCTAAATAGAAGATCAGAGACACAGACATATTGTACATTCAAATTACACTTTACACACGCACACCCATACATACACATACATAAACACATACAAACACACACATATACATACACACACGCACATACACACACACGCATACATACATTGCAATGACCAAGACGCTAGCAGCATCAGTTTTGTGCTATAGCTGCTATGTTCTGTCCAGTTTTTTAGGAAAAATCAATGGTTTTGAATAATTTTGTGACTAGATCAGATGTTTTTAGTTATATTCAGCTAACATATCATTAAAATTTGTAATTTTTATATAAGATTTCACGTTTTTTTTTCCATTTTTACTATGATGGGCAATGAGCTTCACATATATTGGAGTCATTTTTTTTTCATTATTATGTACATCACTAAAGTTTGAAAAGTAAATCTCAACTAGTAACTAAATTGTTCTTTTTGCGGGTAAAATTTAGTAAAATAAGTAATGTAAAGTGCCAAAAAACTGTTGACTATTTCAAAAAATAAAATGTCTTCATTTGAGAAACAATGTGAAAAAATTTTGAAAAGTTTGGGTCAATCTGCTTTTGATGAGTTTTCTGCACTTACTTCCAATGAACAGAGAATAACTTTCTTATCTAGGTCAACTTTTAATATACTCGACCAAATCATTATACCACAGGCCGACAAGATACCGGTTAAATCTAGCAAAAAAGCCTTTGAATTCCGTAACAAGGGAAATGAATATTTCAAGCGAAACGCATTCAACCAAGCTCTGAAGGAATACACCAAAAGTTGTTACTACTATGATGCTGATGAAGTTGATTCTAACTCTGCTGATGGAAAAAACAAAAAAGCCAGTTCCAATAGTGAAAATGGTTTGGCCGTTGCTATTGCTAACAGGTCGGCCGCTCTTTTCCACTTGAAGAGGTACAATGAATCACTGATTGATATAGATTTGTCTCTTAGCAAAGGCTATCCCCAACATTTACTCTTCAAGCTCTATGAAAGAAAGGGTGATTGTTTGAAAATGTTGAACAAAATAAAAGAATCAGATGAAGCATATAACCAAGCCATGAACTATTTGAAAGTTTCAAATTTAGATAAGACAAAATCAATTAGCAGCATCACCACTATAAGAAAAAAGAAACAAGAACTACAAAATTTGGAGAACACCACTGATATAGAGTTAATCGAACGATTTAATTATCTAACAAGAACCACAAAAGTAGTTCCTTCATTTAGTGAAAAACCAAGCAGCTTATTCCCAAGTCTTGCAAGTTCCTGCAAGGTGTCCTTCAGGGAAGATATGGGCAGGCACATAAGAGCTGTGAGAGATATTATGCCTGGGGAGATTGTACTAATCGAAAAACCTTTTGCATCAGTTCTTGTTCCTCAACAGTACTGGATGCGTTGTAATGTTTGCTTGAAACCGACAGTTAACTCGCTACCATGCCCCAATTGTGTTAATGTCATCTTCTGCTCTGAAGAGTGCTGCAAAGAATCGCAGAAAAGTTTTCACAGGTTTGAATGCAAGATATTAGGCTACTTCAAATTGCTGGAGTTGGATAGGTTTGCACTTCTTGTTTTGAGGACGATTCTGACTCTGCCTGCCAACACCGTGATGAATTACACTAAATCAAAAATGAGCAGTCGCTACAGTAAAAGTAAAAAAATAATTTTAAATGATAAAAATCAGTATTCCTGGGATGACTACAACACCATCTGTGACCTGGTCACTAATGAAGATAAGAAAACAGCGAAAGAGTTATTTTCGAAATCAATAAAATCTTTCATGCTGCTGAAACTGCTAGAGCAGACTGACTACTTCAATGATATCCCAGTAGAAGACCTACCAGCTGTGAAGATACAAGCAACCACACAAATGCTAAACCACTTACTCTCATTTCCATGCAATGCGCACGAGATCTTTGAAATCAGACTGGACCCATCGTCGGTGGCTGCCTCTGTATCATCGGAGGTTGGAGCCGGCATTTACTCAACACTCAGTCTCTTCAACCATTCGTGTGATCCACTTGTAACCCGAGTATTTTATGGTGATGTATGCGTTGTTAGAGCTATGGGTCTCATAAAAAAGGACGCTGAAGTCACAGATAACTATGGTGCTGTCTTCCAAATGTCACAACTTGATCTGAGACAAGTGCAGCTCTCACAATACTGCTTCAAATGCACTTGTGACGCTTGCAAGTATGATTGGCCTCTATACGATGAGACTTTAGAAGTTCCCCCGATATATCTGTGCGATAACTGCAGCAAGCCAATATTCATAGCTTTGGATGTTCATTTCAATTGCAGTGAATGCAACCATCCACAGAATTTACGAATGAAGAAAGCATTGTTGCTCAGGTCTGGTGCCAAGTTTAAAAGGTCATTCAGTCTGTTGTTGGATTATAAACCAGAGGAAGCTCTTCCTGGCGTCCTGGAATACCTAACTAGTTTGGCGACTGCTGTGAGAAGACCATTTTGTGAGATCAGCAAAGCACAGGAATCTATAAAGCAGTGTTATGGGTTTCTAGCAAACTGCACCATGATTTGAAAATATTTTGTAAAACTTTTCTTTGTGTCATTTGAAGTTTTTTCCACTGTGTGTGAGTGCCTTTATTTATTTTGAATCAAGTTTATATACAAATGTAAGACAGAAACAACATTTTTTTCATCATACAGTTTTTTGTGGTTCAAGACTGGTGAAAGTAAAAAAAAAATCAACTTATACACCCATTGCTGTTTTAGTTTTTATAAATATATATTATGTATTAAACAAGTTTGTAACTAAATGTTTGAAATGCATACATATATATATGTATATATATACATATATATATACGTATACAAGTTCATTACTCATGAAATAAATTATAGATCAACAAATCATACAACAGCTAGAAATAGATTAAAATGTGATCGGCTAATAAAAGGAAAATTTCAAACTACTGCTCATGCACAACTCTAGATAAAGCAATAAAGAATTCGTTGGGGGCCGTGACGTCATGCCAGCCGACTGGTCCTATTTCACAATCTGCACATGTTAGATATTTTGTAGTGTCTACTAGGTAGGAAAACCCAATGTTCTCAAAGGCATACATGTTCTCAACTTTCCAACATTCTGTTATCAGATCACAATTCGTGTCTGGCTCATCTGCGGACTTCTTTTTCATTATCGGCAATGAGAACTGTTTTTAAAAAAACGTATAAAAAAATTTAAAATGAACAATGAACATGGAAACGAAAAATAAATTAAGATTATTTATTAAGAGGCAGAGGTAGAAAACTACCTCTTTTATTGCAAACGTGGCGGTATTTGGCCTCAGAATGATGCATTTGCATCTTTCGCACAAAATTTTTGACGAGTTTTTTCCGTTTTCGATTAAAACCTTTATTTCATCTGGAAGATTAGGAAGAGAATTTTCACGTAAATGCAGAAGCTTATTATCGTCATCCATTTTTAAAAGTGACTCTAAACAAAGAGTTGAACAGACAAACACGGTATGGAGGGTTGGGCTATTCAACTTTCTTGGATTATTGGCTTATTGGCTTGCTTATGAAATTGCATGGGCTTTAACAAACAACTAATAAAAAATATTTACTTGACTAAATATTTTTAAAACAAATAAATAAATCGAATTATGTAATTTAAAATTACATAGTTTAAAAATATTTTTAAAACAAATAAATAAATCGAATTATGTAATTTAAAATTATTTTTGTCAATTTGAATGAAAATATTGCTTTTTGTTTTGACCTACACGGTAGATAATCTACCGTTTAATAAAACCATAGGTTAGCTAACTTACGAAAGTTTGTTTTTTATTTTTCTTTTTTTTAATAATAAAATTAAGTGGAATTTTTGAAAAATACTTTAACTGACTTTCCATAGACAATTTTGTTGTCAAAATTTCTTCACTGACGTTACTCTATTTCTTTAAATGTTTTTATTTTCTAGCTTCTATTTTTTTAAATTTCTCGCAATTGACACATTTTTTAAAATCTATCGCGATTCGTTTTTGTTTTTAAAATCAAATTTTAAAAGTTTTAATCGTCGAACTTCTACTTTTATTCATTTTTTTCAATCCAATCTTGTGTCTTCACTCTTCAGTCTATCTCAGTCTGTCTACTCTACTGATAAGTAGATAGATAGAAGAGGAAGGATATAGTAATAAAAAAGTGTGTTTATCTAACACTAATTTGAAAATTAGTGATTGATATTTATACACATATATATATTTTGGCTTTTTTGCCATAATGACGGTTCCATATTCGAGTCAAGTGGCCACATCTTCGTTCTCATGCTTTCTCAAACTCTTATTCAGGTTTTTTTTTGTTTCTGGTTTCTTTTTTCTTTTTATTAAATAAATAAATTTTATTTATGTTTGCTTGGCTAACTTTTTGGTTGTCAATTAAAGTAAATATATAAACTGTAAGTGTAACGTAAAGCTAATGTAATCTGACTTGTCTCTAGTCTAAAGTTAGCAAACGTTCATTCAGCAAACGTTCTTTAACCTAACCCCTAATCTTAATCCTGACACTAACCAGCTCACAATTTTTACTAAGTATCACTACAAACTTAAAATTATTCATTATTTCACAAAAATGTTCGCATTTTTTTTTACTGTACCTACTTGCTACTATATTTTCATAACAGTATTTTTATTAGTTATTTTATTTTTTCTTTTCTAGATGGAAGGGAAGCATCTACAAATTGCTATGGAAAGAGTTTGCTGTCTTTGCATCATTGTTCTATTCTCTGAGTTTCTTGTATAGATTCATCTTATCTGGAGAATCAAAAACGTAATTAATTTGTCTTTTTTTAAATTTTTTAATATTTCATAATAAACTTTCATCTTAAAATTTAACTAATTAATAATACTAATGATAATTTAAGTGATTAACTTGAATTAATTACATCAGATTTTTTGAAAAGATGGCAATTTATTGCAATGAATTCAGTAACCTAATACCTCTGGCATTTGTTCTTGGGTTTTACGTTAGTATAGTTGTCAACAGATTTTGGGAACAGTATAGAACGATTCCTTATCCAACTAGAATGGCCATGTTTGTTTCTGCCTTACTGACTGGTTTGTTGATTAGGCATTCATTAGATTGCTCATTCCTATGGGTTGAATGTTGGTGTAATGGATTGATTTTGATCGGCTGGATAATGCCTAGAAAGTTCATTCTGATTGGATAGTTGATCAATTTTTGGTTGAATGTGATTGGCTGGATTGTACCAAGAGAGTTTATTCTGATTGGCTGTGAATTATATTTCTGTGGAGAAATGATATGAAATTGTTTTTTCATTTTTCAATTAACAAGAAATTATTATGAAAAAAAAATAATTTGCAAACTTAATTTTAAAATATAAACTGATTAATTAGATAATAAATTAATGATTTCACTGAAAAACACAAAGGAATTGACGAGAGGGGTCGAATGATGCGAAGGACAATTATGCGGTATCTTTGTTTGTCGCACCTGATGACGATGGCTGCCATTAGTCCTCCAGTTAAGAAGAGGTTTCCCGATATGAAACATATGACTGATGCTGGTTGGTTGTGTGGTTGGCTGGCTGATTGATTCTCTGATAGGTTGGTTGGTTGAGTAGTTGATTGGCAAGATTGTTTCAAGTTGCTTTGAAAATGGTTTTTGTTCACACATACACGCCAACACATACCACACGCACGCACACACACACGAACGCACACACAAAAAAACAGGCTTCATGCTCCCAAATGAACAAGAAATTTTAGAAAAAATGTCTACAACATCCAATAAATACTTTGTTCCTCTGGTTTGGTCTGCAAGTTTGGTTCTCAGAGCTCGCAAAGAGGGTCGAATTAAGGATGATTTTTCCGTTAAGACGCTTATTGATGTTTGTATTGTTGTTTATTATTCATAATTTTTAGTTATTCATAATAATTTCTAAATAAATAATAGAAATTAATTTAGTTTTTAATTTTTTTATAGGAGATAAATGACTATAGAGGTAAATGTGGAACATTGTTTGGATTTGATCACGTCACAGTGCCCATTGTATACACTCAGGTAGGTCAATAGAAAAAATTATATTATCTTTTTGGGAATAAGATTGGGCAGTTTAACAGCCAATCATATTGATTAGAATGCTTACCTTGATTCCGATTGGTCAGCTAATTATAAATCACCTCGATTCTAATTGGTCAGCTAATTATAAATTACCTTGATTCTAATTGGCTAGCTAATTATAAATCACCTTGAATCTAATTGGTCAGCTAATTATAAATTACCTTGATTGTGATTGGTCAGCTAATTATAAATTACCTTAATTATGATTGGTCAATCCAGGTAGTAACAATTGCCGTCTACATGTTCTTCATGTCCTGCTTGATGGGCAGGCAGTTCTTGGAGAATGGAAGGGTTGGAGATATGTACTTCCCATTTTTCACATTCTTGCAATTCTTTTTCTACATGGGATGGCTCAAGGTTTGGTGTATTTTTGGTTTGGATTTTAACATGCATTTGTATATGCATAGTTATATATATATAAATATATATATATAAACTAACATACATAGGTAGCTGAATCTCTAGTGAACCCATTCGGAGAAGATGACGACGACTTTGATATCAATGGGATGATTGACAAGAACTTACCGGTGGGTCCCTACGAAACTTTATTTTTTCAAGTTTACGCGGATTGAAATTAACTTCCCAGTCACTAGATGTCGAGAAATGTCAAAACAAAAATAGACAAAAATTTCCACTTGGAAGTAATTCTTACGTAATTTTCTCGCCAGATGTCATACCTGATAGTTGACGAGATGCACAATGACCATCCGGAGCTGATAAAGGACCAGTACTGGGATTCGTTCAACATCACCCTGCCCTACACAGAGGCCTCTCAGAAGTTTCAAAAGGAAGAGCACGTTGGATCGGCTGCCAACATCGAGTGATTATCCATCTATCTATCTATCTATCTACCTATCTATCTATCTATCCATCCATCCATCCATCCATCCATCTATCTATCTATCTGTCTATCTATCTATCCATTGGTTGATTGTGTGAATGAGTGACTGAATAAATGATTGAAGGAATGATTGAATTAATGAATTGTCGAATGAATGGATGGGTTAGTTTTTGGATGAATGAATGAATTCCTATTAACCACTGCAATCTGTCTCTTTTCTCCACAGCATCCCCCAGTCAAAAGCTCAGTTCATCCCACCGAGTTCCTCCATGTCGACTCTTCACGAGGATCAAGTTATTTCTGCTTTCAGCTCCAGGCAGAGCTCCATAAACGAACACAAATCCCCCAAGAACAAAAGAAAGAAAGTTCTGAGGAATGCATCTAAGTTAGTGTTTTTGGTGTAGTCGTTGGAGATGTTGTTGCTGTTGCGGATATGAAATAATAATAATGTTTTTGTTGTCACAATCATTTTCATCATCATCTCGATCGCCATCTTCTTCACCATCATCCCGACCACCACAATCATCGTCGTCGTCGTCGCCAACAATAGATTGAGTAACTTCTTCCGTTCTTCATCCCGGCAAACGTCACGTCTGGACCCGACCAAAGAAGACGAGGAGGCCAACCTGGACATACCACTGAATCCAATGAACGAGAAGACTAATGCAAACAATGATAACACCATTAATGATGATAGACCCGCTGCCGGCGACGATGTCGTGAAGTCAGCTCCTAGTGTTAGTTTTCTTTCTCGGTTTGTCGGTCTTTGATATAGTCTTCTGTTGTTTTCGATCTGGAAAATTGTCATTTGGTGGCTCTCAGTGGTTTTTTCATGAGTTTTCCACTTGTTTTGTTTGCTCACACGTTAATCCTTTAACTCTCAATATTTTGACATCCTCCCTTAGGACGACCTTATGTTTCAAATGTCTGATGACGAAGGCCCGCCCTCTCCCAAAACTGACTCAACAGACACGACAACTGCAGCAGCAACAAAGAAACGCTTCAAAATAACAAAACCTCTTTCCATCAAAGACCCGTCAAGAACCAATCAAAAATCAGACTTAACCACGCCCACAAAGTCACCAGATGACAAACCAGCTGCCAGCAGCTTAAACAGCACTTCCGGCAGCGTCAGCGCAGCTGGAGGCCACTCAAAATTAGCGCCACCACACGGCGTTTTGGAAGCCGTTCTAGAGGCTTCAGAAAGTCCGGAGGCCTTTGTTGGATCCGTTATTAGTCAGCTGAAGGAAATTAGAATGGGAACCAGTGTCAATAAATAAGATGTATTATTTAAGTGACGAGTACGATGATGATGATTGTGTGAATGAATGAATGAATAAATGAAGGAATGAAACAATGATTGATTGAATGAACGAATGAAAGATCGAATGAATGAATAATTGATTGAATGAATGAATGAATGAATGATTGATTGATTGGCTACACTAATAGATCGAAGTAGTTTTATAAATAGATGTTTGGTGTTCTTATTTGCTTAAAGCTAAGAGCCTAAGTTATTCGTAAATACGGATAATGTATTTCAGATGGACTAATGATAGAGAGATTAAAATAGCAGACTATTGGATGAATGAATAAACGAACGATTGAAAAGATAAATGAATAAAACCAAATTGTTGATTTAAAACGTTCAATCTACCTTTCATTTATCATCATTTCAATCAAATCTGAATTCTTGTTTTTTGTTCATTTCACACCAACTGCTACTCTTGTAGTATTTTATAAGTGTGAATCTAGTTCTAAAAGTATTTTAAAATATATATATATTATAAATATATATATATATATATATTTATAGCGCTTTACTTTCAGATCATGTTTTTAGTAATGCTAACTTAACATTCATATTTGCTTTGATGATGATTTATGATTTTATATCTTAAATGCTTGTGTGTTCGTGTGTGTGTGTGTGTGTGCGTGCGTGCGTGCGCGCGTACGTGTGTGTTTATAATGCTTTCATTGTTCATTGATATAAAAATCAATCAGTTATATTATGATCATTGGTGTTTAATTATTATAGATCAGTTGGGTGATTAAATTTCATCCTTCTTTAGCTAGGCTGGGTTTGTTCGTTGAATTAATGTAACCGCTATCCTTTCAAATTGGTACCTCTATGTATACTTGCTTGTATTTTTCTGTTTGTGTCTGTATTGTATTGAGCGTTTTTGCGTGTCGGCATGCACTTGTACATATATGTATGTATGTATGTCTGTAATTGCTTATTTATATATATTTTCGATTTTTTGTTAAACCATACATATAGTTTATATATACTTCTGATTTTTTTTGTTAAAGCATATAGATATTGATTTATTTATTTAGTTATTCTTTTATTTATTGCAGTTAATCTTTCACTTAATGCAGTACAATTAATCTGAGTTTTATCAGGATGTATAAATATACAACATATGCACAGTAACACAATTCACACTTACATACATTTACACACTATGCCATCACAGCCTAACCGTAAACATATTTTCGTTTAGCTTATTGACAACATTCTACTTATAAAAATTTGTTTCAACTGTAAAAAGTATTATTACGTTTTGAAATTTATTCGAAACCTTATTTACTACTAATATTCGTGTTGATAAAAAAAATACTAAATCTTACCAGTCTACTACTACTGCTACTGTGTATAAATACATATATATGTACAGTATGTGCATGTATGTTTCTCTATGTATGTGTGTGTGTTTATGTAAGTAAGTATGTATGTGCGTGCGTGTGTGTATGTATTTATGTGAATGCCTGTGTGTGTGTAAGTGTACTTGTTTATTCCTTTATATATTACAGTGTTTATTTATAGTAATAATAATAGTAGCACATAATAAAAATACTCACACCATATAATTATATATTACTTATAATTATTATGTTTATTTATTGCAATAATTTTGTATTATTATTATAACTATATATAATAATTATTAATGTCTCATCGTTATCAGCAAATAATTTTATTTTGTGACTGAAGCGTTTTGCTTTTTTTTTTTTGTAAAAAAAATTTAGTTTAAAAAAATGTACAACTTACATACACACGTATACATACATACAAACTGACACACACACACAAACACACTCACTTGCATGCAGTATATAAGGCGTAAAGTTTACGTAATGTATTGAATTCTTTTAAAATTTATTTTTCCTTACAAATTTTTCTCTCTTTAAAGGTTGTTCAACTAATTTCTTTGTTTATATTTTTATCAACCCATTCATTCATTCATGTATTCGTTCATGTATTCTTTCATTCATTCACTCATACGTTGATTTATTTATTTTTAATTCATTCGTTCCTTCATTCATACACTCATTTTTTTACAGGAATTATAGTATTAAGTAAAATCTTTTACACATCCATGTTTGTGCCTGAGGTGTGTGTGTGTGTGTGCTCATTTGGCGTTTCAGCCATTCAATTTTTTAAATGAACGATTGATCGAATGATTGATTGATTGATCGAATGATTGATTGATTAGCTTATTAATTAATTGATTGATTGATTAGCTTTATTTTATATATTATCTATTTTATTTTTGGAAAAAATATAATTAATTAATTAATTGATTAGCTTTATTTTATATATTATCTATTTTATTTTTGAACAAAAAATATAACGTATAATTTCATATATAACCATGCATACGTATATGTATATATATATATATATATATATATATATATATATATATATATATACGTATATATACACGATAAACTCCTAATAATCTAGTTAACGAACAAAAAAGTTGACATTTATCAATAAAAAACACATTTAATTACAACTTTAATAACTCTCCCTTTCTTTCTTTCTCTCTCTCTCTCTCTCTCTCTCTCTCTCTCTCTCTCATATATTCACATGTAACATAATATATGGTAGTCTATGTTTACAACAAGCAAAGAATAAATAACCGAAAAGGTATATAGATAACAAAAAATGATATATAGGAAAAAATGCAATTTATGGAATGTCTGCGCATATGATGTATTGTGTGTGTGTGTGTGTGTTTGTGTGTGTATAACATAATGTATGGTAGTTAAACATTTACAAACAATTTTTCAATAAATAAATAAATAAAAAATATATATATTTATCTATTTATAATAGTGCATAATAATTTTCTGCAAATTATTTTAAGGTCTTAACTATCAAAACGACAAACACATACACAAGCAAACATACAAACTTCTCTAGCTAAACATCTTATTGGCTAAAACGACGACAAACAAACAAATCCATAATTAATGATCAACTATTAATTGTGGTTTTATAGCTATGAAGATTATTTTATTATCATAAGCCAACGATAACAACGATGGCGATGACAATGATTAACAAATGACTCAAAATTCAATCAATCATTCAATTAATCAATTCAAATTTTCAACCAGCCAATCATTCAATTGACCAATTCATATTTTCAACCAGTCAATCATTCAATTGACCAAATAGTCAACTACTAATCAGCCAATCGACCAATCAATCAACCAATCGACCAACCAATCAACCAACGAATCGACCAATCAATCAACTAGATGGGATTATGCCTCGGCGGAATGGTAGGTGGCAGCTGTTGACCACTCCTGGCAGGTATGCTCGGTGGCTGAGGTGCTACGACGGCATCGTTCGTATCGGCAGCTGCCACATTCGGTCGTTGTGGTATCGGCGGCATGGAAGGAGCCGGTCTCGTCGGTATTAACGGTCTCGGAGGTATGTTCGGTATTTCAGACGCCATTGCTGCAGTGCTATTTTTCGTTGCAGTTGTCTTAAATGTTGTGGTGAGACTCTCGAGAACATCGTCTAACGAGCAGTCGATTGAAGGATGCTGTTCAAATTTTCGCGGTAGCGGTTTCGGAGGTCCGGGATTTCCGGCAGCAGCAGGCCTATTTTTAGGAACGGGTGGTGGTGTATTGAACGACGATGTTGCTGCAGTAGTTGTTGTAGCGGCGACTACAGATGCAGGAGCGAGTGTGTCAAACAAATCTGCCTCATTCAATTTATAATCATCATCTGCTTTGTCAATACCGATAGCGTTGTCAGTATTTGAAAGGACATTTCCACTAGAATTAGTAGTAATTTTACTATCGCAGGTAGCATCAGCGTACCAGACCGAGTTACTAATCAGTCTGTTCTGCCCACTGCCAACAACTGCAACCCTCTGAGGCGCAATTCTGTCGAAACTACTTTGCTTCTCTCTAGCTGCTGGCCGTGGAGCAGTTGGCAGAGGAGGTGGAGTCGCCGATGTGGTAACTGCAGTAGCTTGCGTAGTAGCCACAGTGGCTTGCGTACTAGTTGCAAAAGCTGCAGTTTTATTAGCAGCATTAGAAGTATTTGCCTGACTGTTGATGATAGAAACTGGTGGTCGTTGTTGATTGAGAAGTAGTTGAATGAGCTTCTCTGCTTCTTGTTCGTTTGAAGCCCCCGTCCTCATGACATTGGTCGGCAAACCGATGCTGGCTACGTTCTGATTGGTTGGTCGGTTTAGTGAAGGAGGAGTTGTGAATATTTTTTTTAAATATTTTGTTCCAAATATGTTAAGAATTAACATTTGTTTAAAGTGTTGCAAATTAGAGAAGTACTTTTACAAGAGTAAACACCTGGGTTCTTTTCCCTGATTTTGTGTACGTTGGCTTCACAATGTGGGTCGTCACTGGCCTGCCTGCTGTTTCATTTCATACAAGTTCATTATTAAATTATTTTACTCATCAATTTTATAATATAATTCTAATCAATACGACCATTACAAAACCATTTGATGCAATTTTTTCAAAATTTATTGCACATTAAAAGTGTTATTAACTAACAGTTTTAAAAACAACTGACCAATAGGAGCTGTAGATTTATTAGGAGGATTCTGATTGGCTGAAAATTTTGGGGGAGGGGGTCTAGCTGGCAACGCCGCAGGCCTAGGCGGTTTCACTTTCGGTTTCTAAATAAATAATTACAAAAATAATGTTTGTAAATAAAAATAAGCTAGCAATAAAAACAAAACAAAAATGAAAAAAACTTGAAACTACTACCTCTGATTCGGCCGTATTGACCCCAGAACCTTCTTCAAACTCCATCAGAAGACAACTCTCTCCCTTCCCAGCAACTTCAACTTTCCTACTCACAAAAACAGCACCGTCATTATTACCCAAAACTTCTTCAAACTGTGCTGATTTAAAGTCGTCAGTAGCGATGTTTGTGTTAGTGGAAAAATTGGCAGAGGGCAGTGAGATGACGGATTGAAGGGGTAAGGTGGGAGTTAGGGCGTTTCTTGGGGGGATGCTTGGGTAGGTGGGGGCAAGATTCGAGGCCGAAGATGTGGTCTGAAGAATTTGTTCTGTTTTGGTGAAGATGATTGTGAATTTTTTTTTCGTTTTTTTTATCCATTCACTCATTCATTCATTCGTCCGCCCCATTCATTTATGTAGATTTCTATTTATTTGGGCATGTATTCAAACACTCATTCATACATTCATTCACTCAATTATTCATCGACTCGCCAGTTTTGTTGGACAATGATAACAAATCACTGGACGATGATGAGATCTGCATGCCGGGATCTTTCGTGTACGTCATCACTTCTTCATCCTCACCATCTTTAGAATAAAATATTCACCAGTCAATCAATCAGTCAACCAATCAGCTGACTAACTAAATATCTAACCAACCTTCACATTCAAACGAAAGCAACAAATCGGCATCGTCATTGGTCGAACTAACTCCATCATCATTTCCTTCTTCCGTTGCTGCAACCAATCGCGTCGCGGCTTTTCTTATCTCTTCGCAGTGATTGGCCAACCAGTTTGAATTTTGAATCTGAACGCGAAGAATCTTATTGGCCACTCGCTGATTGTTGTACCGCAAACTGGCAAGAGCCTGTGGACTCGTTCGGAAGGTCAGCAGCATAGTTCGATTCGATGCAAATCTGAAATTTAGCAAAAAGTTATTAAAATGACGTCATCGTCATTATGACCATCGACTTCATCTTTACCTAACGAGAACAATCTCCCCGGCCTCAGATAGGCATTCCAGAACAGAATCAATAAGAGAGTCATCCAAGACCTCATCACCATTCTCATCATCGTCATCATCTCTTTTCATACCATCGCTACCAATACCGCTATCAAGTGCAACGTTATAAGCATTACTGTTGTCGCTGTTGTTATTCTTAATGACGTCATCATCATCGTTCATGACGTCAACGACGATGCAACGGTCGCTGGGACCGTGCTGTAGGATGGCGTTTTTCAATGTCTGGCTACGTTTGTCCGGATCGGATTTGAAGAGGTTGACATCAAAGATGGCCATGACAGGTCTGTGGTCAGACGTCTTCAGTTCCGATCTGTTGTACAGGATCAGACGGCTGCTAGCCACGTGGGTTCCTTCTGGATTAGTGGAGGGATTGACGAGTGGAGGAATAAATGTAAAAATGAATGCATGAAATAATTAACCAATAGATCATTTCAAAAGCCAACCTTTGCCCGGGTAGTTTCTAGAAGCCCACATGACCCTATCAGTCCACGCAGGCACCCTACACTTCTCGCTCGTATCATAGTCGTCGCAAAACAGGTCATATTTGTAGGTCGGGGCAAAATTAGTGGGCCCCTCGTTGAACCCTTTAAAAACCTGCCCGGCCGATCTCTGCACGTTAAGTTGATCACTGGCTTGTAGAAGCGACCAGTTCTTCTGAGCCACATGATTCTTGACCTCATCTTTCATCAGGTCGATGCGGTAGTTGAAGTCGCCGCACCAGAAGATGTGGTCGTGATTCCACACGTGACGACCCTGTTTAAAAAATACGGTGGGTACACCATCCAGATCTGCGGTTCACTTAAGTTCAAGTAAGAAATGCGAGTGGAAATGTACTAACCATCGGAAAACTAATTTTACTGCAAACATCTTGAAAATCGGAATTTCGTTCTCGAACGTTCGATTGACCGGCGGCGAAATGTGAGCAGACGAAACAGACCGATGAGTTGTGAATTTGAAATCGAATACCGACGGCCCCCTTATTACCGGCAGCACCGCCCAACCCCGTTTTAACAGTCGACACCGACAAGTTTCTAGAAAGAACGTTTAAAAACACGAAATCACACAATACTGTAACATCCCCGCTAATTCATCATCATCATCATCATTACTTTATATAAGGAGCGAGAGAAGGGCGAATGAATACGAATAAGCAGACGCCAACGAGCTGAGCTGAAGTTAGTATGATGTACTTCATATCTCTCGAAAGATTGTTTTGCAGGTACAATGCCCAATCCTTCTGGTTCTGAGTGCTGCGTATGTCGGTATAATATGGTATTTGCTTGTATGGATGTTTATATGACACACACACACACACACACACACTCACACACACACATATATATATTTTCTTAATGGTTTTCTTCAATGATGTTTGCATATATATGTTGGTAATAGATATATATATATATATATATATATACCCAATAAATATATATATATATATATATATATATATATATACCCAATACCCGTAAAAATAAAAGTCAAGTCTTAGTACAGTTAAGTAGGAGCAATAGGCATGTGAACGTATCTGCTGCTCCAGGCATAGGTATTTGCACTCACTAACTCACTCACTACTGAATAAAAACTTTTAGGGCTTTCAGAAGAAGAATTTTAGAAAAAAAATCTGTATACAGAAATCGCGCACGCACACACACACGCACACACACAACAACACACACGCGCACACACACACGCGCACACACACGCACACACACACACACATGAACGTACAAGCCCATATGTACAAATATCAACATGTTTATTTAATTTATAAAATCTGAACCTAGCATTGACAATATTGCCAGCATTCAAATCTACAATCTCTTCGAAACCAATGGCGAAGATGTCGGATGGCTTGCTGTAATCAACGTCTGCCTGCAGCATGCCTACAATTATATTCATAATTAACTTGTATTTATAATAATTACAATAATAAAAGAATAATTATCAATTATTATTGAAATAACATGGATAACTAATTCACTAGATTTAACTAACGAAGCAAAACAAAAAAAGGATTTAGTGAAACCAAACAAACCCGGATTATTCTGATTGGTCAGAGTCGGCAGATCGAGCAGCCAATCAGTGACGAGCTCGTGTTTAAAAGCGATACTTCTGAAGTGTTTCCCGCCATTTACGTTCCATGTCCCGACGCTAATTCGTACACTGGCAAGGCTACAATAGTCCAACACGTTCGCCATCACTCGTTGTAGTATTGGAGGCGGTACTAAGGCGATTGATTGATTTATTGATTGATTGATTGATTGAGTGGTCGGTGATTGGTTGTTGATTGTTGAGCCGATTTATTGATTGACCGGTTTAATTTGGGGGTATGTCAGTCGGTGGATTGGATTGGCTAATTGACTCATGATCAATAGATTGATTTATTATTAGTTTGATTGATTGATAGTTAAATACATCGATCGATTGATTGATTGACTGATTGATTGACTGATTGATTAATTGATTAGTTGATTGATTGAACAGTTAATTGACAAACTACGAACAACATCAAAATGACAAAAATCATCCTCATCACAGTCGTCATCTAACAGTGTATATCTGCAGTATCGAAAAGGGTAAAAACCCTGTCGACGAGGTCCACCCCGCCGATAGCCCCGCCCCTCAGCAACAAATCTATGGCCTCTTGTTTCTGGCTGTCCAGAAAGTTATTCTGGAAGGTTCTGTTGGCAGATCTCGCTGCATCCTGGGCCTAGAATGATGATGATGAGGAGGATGATGATGATGATGACAAAAAAAAATGACGATTATCACAACGTTGATGATGACATCGATGAGGACGACAATGGCGAATTATTACTCTACCCCATTATTACTACCCCCCCTCACTTTGGACCTGCCACCCCCCAGGGCTCCGGTGCCCGCGTATATTCTGCTGATGTGGTCACCGTTGGCCATCCACATGCTCCTGTACACTTCCTCGAATCGCGATCTCATCTGCGGCTTACTAATCAGGCCCAGGTCCTCGAGTTGCTGGTTCAGAACCTGAGGTGGTAGGTGAAATGGTGGAAATAATGTAGGATGGAGAGAGAGAGAGAGAAAAAAGAGAGAGAGAAAGAGAGAGAGAGAGAGGGGGGAATGAGAAAGAAATAAAGCTACACATTACACAGCAGAAAAAGTAAATTTAAAAAGAAACAGATAGAATAAAAGAGCAAAATAAAGGAACGAGCTTTAGCAATCCTGAGTAGATAAACCAATCATTCAATTAATAGTTAATTAACCAACCAGTTAATCAACTAGCCAACCAACAAATCAATCAGACATTCAATCAGCCAGTCAATCAATCAATCAATCAATCAATCAATCAACCTCAAGTCCAATCAAAGTCTGAACCGAGTTGGTCCTATCCAAGCAATCGAGACAATTTGTCCTTATGCAACCTGTCTGTAACCTAAAAACAATAGAAATAATTACTAACAACAACTGCAACAACAACAATAAACAATTATTATCATTATTATTATTATTATTTTTTACACTAACTTATCGACCAATTTAGAAGATGGCTGGCGACTAAAGAAGCCGAACTCGTTGTAATACTTCTTGATGACATCGTTCAGCTTTTGGAGATTTCGTAGATTTCCACCACGACATTCTTGGTGGTAGTCAAACGCGACGAACGGCACTTCACTGCCGTGACGTTTCGAGTTACTGTGTTGGTTCTGAAGTGTTGCATAAGTTTAACTCTGCTCAAGTGAACTGAATTTCATTTGACACGAAAGATAGAAGCAAGTGAATCAGTGGCTACTAACATCGAGCCAGTAACAAGCAACTTTATTCCTATTGCATTTATTAATAAGTTTTATAAACTTATTATTAATAACTTATTTATTAATAATTATAAACTACTCTATTAAAAACAAATTACAAAAACAAAACAAGAATAAAAAAATATGAAAAAAAAATTTCTAAAAAACTTTCCTAATTTGACTAACTTTAAACGCCTGACTAAGAACATGTTCCCCTTCCTTGGACCCCAGCAAATTTACAATCACATTTTTTCCATAGTTTTCTTGCAAGTGGTTCAAATGGCGCTCAAAGGCCGGGGCAGACGCCTCATAGCCTCGTGACATTTTGACCTTGTGTGACCCGACCTGTTTCAAGTTTTTTTCATTCAAATTGTTCGATTTTTCATCCATTCATTCACTCATTCTTTCAGTAGCCATTAGTTAATTCTTTTACTAATTTATTCGTTCATTATATCAATCCATCAATCAGTCAGTTACTCAATCATTCATTCGTTCATTCATCTATTCCTTCAATTTCCTTCAATTCTTCATTTACTCATCCAATCAAGTACTCACTTGAAATCCAGGCTGCTCCCAGAACAATGGAACAGATCCACGCGTTTGTATAAAGGAGCACACATCGTCATCCATGTATATTACCTATAAATGAATGTATGTATGTATATATGTATGTATGTATGTGTGTATGTATGTATGTATGTATGTATGTATGTATGTATGTATGTATGTATGTATGTATGTATGTATGTATGTATGTATGTATGTATGTATGTATGTGTGTGTGTACGTATGTATGTATGTATGCTTGCACGTACGTTCATATGCACACGCACAGCACATGTTTGTACAACCAACCTGTTCAGTTTCGACGAAATTAGCGACCTGGCCGTCGTCGTTGGTTCCTCGCACGTTGAACCTCGTGCCTGCCCTCTCACAACTCAAACGAGAAATTAGACACGCCTTTCCCTGCTTCTGGGCAGCGTACACGGTCCGGATTTCCACGCCCCCACAGATTATTTTTAGCAGCCAATCGGAGCAGTCAATTCCAAAATGACGTAATGGAATGTGAAATGTTTTGTTCCTGATTGGTTGGTTTGCAGGTGTTTTGATGGGTTTTTTTCTACGTACTTTGTTGTTGTTTGTGTTTTTGCAGTTATTGTAATTGTTGTTGTTTTTGTTAATGTTGCTGTTGTTACTAATAATGTCGTTGATTGATGGTGTTGTTCAATTGCATGAAGATAGAAATTGATAATGTTGGGACACAATTTCAAATATTCAAACATTCAACATACTTTTTAAGACATTTTTCAAGGTATAACATTGAATATTCTACATTGACACACGCACGCACGCGCACCCACACACAAACACGCACGCACGCACACACAAACACACACGCACACATACACACACACGCACACATACACACAGACCCACTCTGACACATGTTTAAAAAACCTTTATTCACAAAAAAGCATTTAAAGATTAAATGAACATAATAACCATAATCACTTCATTTAAACATTTATTTAAACTCTGCTGAAAAAACCACAAATAATAAAAGATTGACAATAACCCTTATAAACAGCATCGCTGAAAAAACCCAAAACTATATATAGAAACTGAAACCAACCAAAAGAATCGATCATCAGAGGAGCAATCACCGGATGTAAGCCTCCTCTGAGCACTAACAATCAAATTAAACTGATTGTCGGAAGATGTCGTCGCAGAAGAGGAAGTGGATGAAGTCCAAGAAAAATAAAAAGTTCCAGCACTTAAAAACTTTCTCAACTCCGTCAACCGCTCCTCATCTTGGGATTGATTTTGTAGCGATAGAAAGTTGACAGCTGAAATTCTGTATATATCTGATTCGCCTATCTTCCCGACTGACACACAGCCGGTTACAAGTGCAAGCATCGATGTTGACGTTTCCCTAGCTGTGAGATTGTATTTTTTTGTGAAAAGTTGTTGAAAATTGGTATTGAATATATAGATTATCAAAAGTTGAATAAAAAATCACATTTCTAAAAATTATTTGAATTAAATGTTGTTTATTTTAAACTTTTAAACATATTTTGTTTCAATGGAATTAATAATAATATAATAAAATAATATAAACAAAATAAAATAAAGTACAAACTAAGAGGCAGATCGAGTACCCCAAGACAGCCATAACAATCCAGTAATTTAATGTAGGGCTTCTTGATTGCTTCTGTTTGAGTAGGGGCTAGTTTTTTAAATTAAATAAATAAGAAATTAAAAAATATTATTGAGATTATCATTATGCTATAGTGATGATAAAATAAAATATATATAATTATAACCATCTCTTGGCTTTTAGCTTAGCTTAGTTTACTTTACCGACTTAGCGTTCTGCTAGACTAAAAATTACTTACATTAGCAAAAGTATGCAGTATGTTCTGGTGTCATCTTTAATTATGAATTAATAAAAAAATTTTTTTGAAATGAAGTGGGCGTCGACCGACAGAGACTCTGACATGCCAAAATCTGATCCCTTTCTCTTTCTTCAGTTTAGGTACCAAAAAATAAAAATAATATTAAAACACCAAAAAACTGAAACCAAAAACACAAAAACATACATAGCGTGGCGATGATGTTAGATTCAAATAATAAGGTCTCTCCATCCATCTTGGATCTGTTCTCTAGCAGAACACTAAATGGTGGATCTAATTTGTGATAAACCCTGAAACATTTGCTCATAGACATGTTTATTTTTTTCTTAATTTAATTTAAATTTAATAAAATAATATCTATTTATTCAAAAAATAAATCTCAAATTAAATTCATTAATTTATTATGATGGTACATTTTACACTTTAATCGCGAAAGTTTAAACTAAAAGTGAAACAGATTTAATGATATTAAAATTTCAGTAAGTAAGATGGAGTGAAAAAAAATTGGCTAAAAATAAGAAAGAATATTTTGTTTAACGCGAAAAACAAATGTCAGAATGTCATCTGGTTCGTTTTGTTAACTTTTTCTATATATTTTTTTTTAAATTTTCATCCTTATTTTATTCATTTTCGTGTTTAAATGCACTAATAGTTCATCTCTGATACTAAATGAATGTTTTTTACGGTAATATAAGTATAATTTTCACTACCACTAAAATCTGTAGTAGCAATAATCATAGCTCTAATACTACTACTTAGTAGTAGTAGTAGTAGTAGTAGTAGTAGTAGTAGTAGTAGTAGTAGTAGTAGTAGTAGTAGTAGTAGTAGTTGTTGTTGTTGTAGTAGTAGAAGCAGCAGCAGTTGTAGAGCAGTACTAGTTGTAGTAGTAGTAGTAGAAACAGCAGCAGTAGTAGCAGTAGCAGCAATAGTAGTAACAGCGGTAGTACTACATTCATTATTATCATCATCGCTATCTTCATGGTAGAAAAAAATATGAGAACTTGAACTCGTTCATTCAGATCACTCAAGAAGAGTATAATTTTTATTTTTATGAAATAACAAAAATAATAATAATATCAATAATAATGATAATAATAATTATAATAAATAATTATTACGATCATAATAATAAACACAAGAATTGAGAAAGCTCTAAAATTTTCGAATGAAACCTTTTGAAAGCATTTCCACAACAACCATAAAACTATAAAAAAACGTCTATAATAATAATAATAATAATAACAATAATAATAATAATAATAATAACAGCAATAATAATAACACAACTCTACAAGCACATATACACGCAAGCGCATGTAATGAATAAAACCGTACAAACGAACATACTCTACACACACACACACACACACACACACACACACACACACACACACGCACGCACGCACGCACGCGCACGCACACGCACACAAAAATACAAAAAGATGCACGCGCACACGCAAACACAAAGAGACACAGACACACACACACACAAACATGCACAATACTGCTGGAACGCCATGTTATTTTCCCGACATCCAAAATTCAATACGCCTACGCAAAATGTTACGCTCTATAAATATTATCCGGAATACATATAAATAGAGAAAGAGAGAGAGAGAAAGAGAGAGAGAAAGAGAGAGAGAGAAAGAGAGAGAGAAAGAGAGTGAGAAAAAGAGAGAGAAAGAGAGAGAGAAAGAGAGAAAGAGAGAGAGAGGGGAGGGATAGAATGGGCAGTAGAATTATATGAGATAAAGATAGAGAAACAGAAAATGTTAACATACACAGAGAAGAACAAACAGAGAGCAACAGATAGATAGATAGTAGATAGGTAGAGAAAGATTGGAGAGAGATGAAAAGACAGAGAGAGAGAAGGAGAGAGAGAAGGAGAGAGAGAGAGAGAGAGAGAGAGAAACTAGATAGAATTTGCAGAAGAAATACACGAGAAATTGAAAATGTTGCACATACACAAAGGAGAACAGAGAGTAACAGAGAGAGAAAGAGGAGAGAGAGTAAAAAAAGAAAAAGAGACTGAGTGTTAAAGAAAGAAGAAAGAGAGAGAAAGAGAGAGAGAGAGAAAGACAGAGAGAAATATGATAACATTTATTCGGTTAATATGAATTGGTTTAGAGCAATCATTAATGTTATTGTTTGTTTTGTTCGTTCATTGGTTCGTTTGTTTTTGCTTGCTACTACATAGTTATAAATTGCAATTCAATGCTTTTAATGAGTTGTATGTTTGTATGCACGTATGTGTATATGTATATATAAGTATATAATGTATGTATGTATGTTTTGTATGTTTGTATGTATGTATGTTTGTATGTATGTATATGGGTATCAAGCGTCCTTGTTTTTTTGGCGTGGGTGTTTAAGCGCCAACAATATAGGAACCCATGAAATACAATGTACACACCAATGTTGTATATATAAACATACATATAAACACACATGCACACACGTACCCACACATACATATATATACATACGTACGTACATACATACATACATGCTTATATACAAAAAAATGCTTATGTACAACCGTTTGTATATATACATGTATGTGCATGTCAATATGTTTTTACGTACGTCTGTATTTGTATATATTCTGTATGTATGTGTGTATTTTTATGTATGTATATGTATGTGTTTGTACGTTTGCATAAGTGTGTGTGGGTGTGTGAATTTGTCCGCCGGACGAACAGACAGCTGAAAGTGCTTATAGCGAGGAATGTTATGGTTCACTCACTCGTTCATTCATTCATTCATTCATTCATTCATTCGTTCATTTATTCATTTGTTCGTTCATTCATTCA